AATAAATTAAAAACTCATTGCTTAAAATTTTAAATAGAAATTTGGTAACTAAAGGGGTAATGTGAACGATGTAATTTCAAAATGATTATTACAAGTGAGATATTAGCTAAAGAATAATATAATATAACTCCTCAAATTATCACTGTAACGAATAGTACTGTTTTGCTTGCAGTAATTATTACGTTATGTTATTAAGTTATTGTAACATTTATTGACATTGCAATTACTTTATACACTATTATTTCTAAACAAATATTAAAGTGTTACTAAGAAATAAAATTTAATTAAGCATCTATTATTCTTATTCTAAAAATGAAAATCATTTAAAAAAGTGGATTCTAGCTAATATGCGCAAATATTGGTTAATATCGTGGAAATGTCAAAAGTTTCAGGCCCGTTTCAGCGTATGCTTTATTCTTCCGAGACACGCAAGCTGTTATCAAACACAGAAGTCCAAATGCAAGTTTTGGTGAAGTATCAAAAATTGTTGCATCAATGTGGGATTCGCTAGATTGGCGTACAAAGAATGTTAGTTTGCTTAAAACTGAATTATAAATATAAGCAAAAATTAAAATATTTATTACTCATTTTGAGTTTTCGACTGAATATAAAACAAAATTAAAACTTGAAAATATATATAATTGTATAATTTTTTGAATTTGTAAATTTTAAGTTATACAAACAAAGAACAGAAGCTGCCAAAAAAGATTATTTGAAAAAACTAGCTGCTTATCGTGTGCAACAAATATCATATGTAAGTTCTTCATCTTAATTATCTTAAATAAATTTTAAAAAACTAGTTTAAAATTTAAAAAACTGTAATAAATCTTCAGTTACTGCAATTCAGTACTTTAAATTGGTACTTTTATTGATTTGATTGTTATTTTTGTTATTAAATTGTTATGTTATAAGTTTTGTAATTGAATTTTCTTCTTGGTTATACATACTTAATACTTAATGACTTTATGGAGTAACTTACTGTTTGTAAAAAATTCTTAATTTATTTTAGAATGAAACGAATGAACGAATAGAAGGTGAAAGATTGGCGATAAAAGCAATGAAATGTTCAACTTCATCAAATTTGAAACAGAATAAAGTGTCACACGAAGGTCAAATGACCTTGGCAAGTTTGATTGCTCGTCCATCTTCAGCATTATTACTTCAACATCATCGGTTTGTATTAAAAAATTTCTTAAATTATTTTCAAAAAAATTGTGCTTTGCAATAATCATTTTATAAAAATTCATCAGTAAATGAAACAGTTTGAAACAGTTAGAATGGTTTCTTTTTTAAATTTTCACGTTGATTTTCTTAGAATCCACAAAAAAGGACCAAAACTCACAACTTTTCAAAAATTCAAATGTAATTTTCGTTTGGTCAGATAATTTAAACTTTGACAATATTTCCGACTTTTGCACAAACTGACAGATTAAATTATTAAATACTTTCTAATCTTTGCGTAAATTTGTATTCAATAGTATTTATTTAAATTAAATACATTGGACGTTTTTAAATTATAGCTAAAATTTCAAGTTTACTACAATTGAAACTGAAAATGGAGTATTTTTGTTTATTTGCAAGAAAAAAAGCATATCAATATTGACACAAAAAAGTGATCAAGCAGTAGTGCGCAGATTCATTATCATGATATCAGTTAAATTTTGAGTAGTAAAAGAAAAAACTGATTAATTAATAAATTAATAATTAAATTAAATTAAGAATTTCAGTACGATGCAAAAGAATGATGAGAAGAGTTGCAATTAATGAATGTTTAAATGAGAAGTTGAAAAGCAAAACAAAGGAGTGATCTCTGCAGAAAATAAGATAATTCGAATGATATAACTTGGGATTAATTTCGTATTATACATTCTAATTCTCCTCAGTTTTCTTCTTCAACTCTGAATTTCAGTTGTAAATTTTTTATTATTTGTACGTGTTTGTGGTATACAATTTTTTTGTGTTTCTTTTAATTGAAATGTTGCCATTTATTTTGTTGCTTTGGCAAATACTTTTTGGTTATAAAAATTTACTGAATATGAGATTCTTGTGCGTTATTTGAAACAAAGTTATTACATTCAGAAACCAAAAATTTGACTGTTTTTAAGCACATGTAAGTTAATCAACTAATCTGCTAAATTTACGCCAGTTTAATCATTCAAAAATGATAGCAGTCCAAACGATAAAACTCAAATTAAAAACAGTAATTAAGTTAATCAGTATAGGATTTCCAAGCTTACATTGCTTATTTTGTAACAACTTAAACTAATTATTTATGAGCGCAGCTTGTAATGAGCTTGCATGTTTTCATAAACCGTCGGAAAGTGAATTTTTGCACTTGCAGTCATTATATTTTGATTTAAAAAATTAAATACTTTAATAAAAATCGGTTGCTATGAATACTTAATTCCATATTTGCAAACGAATTTTTCATTATTTACAACATACAATTTCAAATAAATTTATTCTACCAACCAAAACTTGAATTACTTGATATATATTTCAAATTGTACTGAATTCATTAAAGAGTTTAAAATTGTCAGAGTAAAAACTGAATTGAGTAATCTTAACTTTTGATGCACAATGTAATAAAACAAACATAAATATGGAAAAGCAAATTTAATAGAGAATTTTAGAACCAAAGGAATGCTAACTGAAAATAAAGCACGACCGTGTGCAATTTGCATATCAGTGAAATAATATAAACTTGCAAAGTACTTCAGTGTGCGCATTTCTTAGTTTAATTAAAAATTGCCTAGTAATGAACTCATCACTTGTGACATTGACATTCCCTACTACAGCCACTGATTACAACTTCACCAGGTTATTACATAATTGAATTTAATAATTTACATTTCAAAACCTGAAAACATATTTAAACAGTTATTAAATAAGCACTACTTTTTCCCATTCCCCAACTCTATTATCACTATTATTGATCGTGATTACTAATTATTATCATTATTAATTATTATTACCATCATTACTATAATCACTATTATTCATAATTTTGCTCACAATTATTTTGTATTATGACTATTACTGTTTGTGCAAGAGTGAGGAAATGTTTCAGCAGAAAATATGTGATTGAAATATCTTACATAATTCTGTCTGTACTGATTCTCTTCATAAGGTTTTTGCTACACAATTTAATTAAGCAGTTTTTGTTCTCAAATGCTTTGCAAGCAACAAAATTTCATTAAGCAATAACACATTTGATAATTTTATCCTATAATTAGTAAATTTATCGAGAACACTGACTACATATTTCCATCACAAAATTATAATATCGTTAATTCTTTGCAATTTTTCAGTACTACCAGTATTAAAGATAGCAATCAATACTCTATAATTACAATTGACTATATTCCATTGATTATCGAACTATTGGGAGTTATAGCTACTATAATTGCATGCATTGTGATGCATTTTATAATGAAAAAATCATACGAAGATAGAGAAAGGCCAACAGTTCATCATGCCATTCATCACAAATACTACAGTACACAACTGGACAGATTTCTGTTTGAACAAAACAAAAACGGTAAATGAAATTATGCTTAGAATATTCGATTTCACAAACCTTTCCTCGAGTTATCACTTACTTTGCGCCATGCAGTTTTTTTCGATTTGGTTGACAGTTTCGAAAATGAATTCTGCCAAACTGATGAAAAAACTTCTGGTTTAAGTCTTAATTTTAAATGACATCTTGTTTCATTTGTGTCAAAAGATTACAGCAAAGAATAGTGGCAATTTAGAAATAAAGTTTAATCTAGTTATCACTTAGATCAACTCAAATTTAAAGATCTTAAAGAAATTATCACTTAAAATAAAACGTAACTGTCATTTATAACTAGCCAGAAATCTTAAGTATGAAAAAATGCTGTTATTTCCCATTTCTCACAGATAAATCGAAAATGAGTAACTAAACTTTCCTAACACAGGATGGTAAGAATGCCAAAATGCAATCTTTATCATCCTACCTTATTTCTAAAATTTGCATATTGTGCAAAATGGCACTGTCCATTACTACACAAGACTTGATTATAAAATTGTTTGAACACTGTACAAACAAGAAACATGAGCATGAATCGCTCAACTTCCCTCATGACAATTTAGGAAGACCAAAAACTAGCAGAAGGTTTCAAAGATTATGACTAAAAGTGATTAGTTCTACTAATTCTTAAAACGAAACTTTTTACTGAAAAACAACATATATATAGTAGGGTCCACCTCTTTACTGTTTCCTTCACAAAAAAGCAACTTCAATCCGACACCAAACATAACTCAAGTTTCAGCGATATTTTGAAAACATGAGCTATTTATTTCAAATGACATGTATTAAAATACCAAATATTCATATGATATAAGGCTTATTTAATCAGGACTGAGTTGATGTTGTCTTTGTAAAGAATAAACAAGATACACCCTTTCAAGTTCTTAATACTTTCAAAAGAAACAGCGATAAAAATAATAAGTGATATGGACGACCAAAAATTACTTTTTTCCACATAGTTTATTAAAAAAAGTTCCGTAAAAAATACATTTTCACTACATAAATCGGAAATTACTCCATACAAAAACAGATACAAGAAATGTACTGAAAACTTTTCTCAATCTATAAACGATATGCGAGGACTACAATTCTGATATTTATTAAAATTAAAATAATTGCATTCAAGAGGAGGTAACAAAAGTACCAATCCGTCCTGAAATAACACATGTAACCAAAAAAAATTACGCAATATCACAGTCATAATTAATCATGAAAGATTCAACCGTATCTACGCTCACAACTTCTAAAATAAAATCCCGGTTACCCAGAATTTTCTACACTTTACAGATCAACTCATTAGTTTCACTAAAAAATTACATTACGTTCTAGACACCAAAGATTTAATTACTGAAAGAACTAAAATTTTATAAAAACCAGCAGCAACACAACCAATAAGTATGGAAAAATAATGAATATGGCGGAATATATTTTACAACTGTCAAGAAATTCATGTTATGGCATAACTTATACTTATCGTTTTTCTGATAATCCGGCTCAAAGCAACTCTTAAATCTTCACGCATTTCACACTCTACTAAACGACTTATATTCAGCGCATAGTCTTGACCAAGATCAATAAGCTGAAAAAATTTTACAGCTGATTTGTAATAAATAACATGCTTAGACTACTATGAGAGATCCGAAGAAAACTTATAACATAAAACAAAACCAAAAATTCTTTTCAATTTTCCAGTAATTCAGCAGTTCACATTAATTTGCCTCTAGTACCTGTTCCGACGAAAACCTGTCTGTTTTCTCCAGCGCTAGATGTATAACCGGAATCCAAGCTTGCCGATGTTGCTCCGACTTTAGCTCTGCATAGTATGTGAGGGCATTTTCCAAAATCCTTCAAAGAATAAGAAACATCAAAAAAATAAGTAAAAAAACACGTAGTGAACAAATATAAATTTATAAATTTTCAATCACCCTGTTTAATTAAATTTTGTAGCTCCATTTGATCAGCTTGCATATTTAAGTACTACTGACTGAATTCAACGACAGTAACAAACTGAGACATTTATCAATGAAATAATAATGAACTAAAAAAAGGAAAGCAAAATGCAGCAATGATTCCAAAACTTTTAACGATTTGGTTTGTGAGTAATGCTTGTGGTAATAAGAACATTATGTAAATGAGACACAAAATAAATCACATGATAACCTCAGTAACTTGGTCTTGATGATGGCTTTTTGTTCCATCGATGTTCGCTTCACATCTGTGTATAATTTGTACAAAATATTAAGAGCTGTCCGTATGCTACGAGTTTCTTGTCGTAAAAGATTAGGTTTACTCCGACATAAAAATATATTACAGCTAACAATAAAATATTATAGCAAAATTGAAATTTTTCCACAGTTAGTTTTAAGATCTTCGTGAGCTCATTAATTTTTTTGAACTCTTTATATAAAAAATTCAAGTCTAAAAAATGATAAGCTGAAATATCTACAATCTGAATAGTACACGATTAGTCTCTAAAACAAAGATCCTTTAATGGTTCTGCACAGAAGCAGAACAAACAGTCTAAAATAAAAGATATATTATAGATAAAGTGCAAAGCAATCTTAATCTTACCTTTAAAACCAGCTTTCCATAATAATGTACGCTGAGCATTATTGCCGTTAAATTTCTGAGCAAGAACATGAGAACTGAGTAGGCATTCAACAAGTCGTACAAGATGATTCACTTCTGTAGTAATTTATCTTGAAAAATACACACATGAAGATTTTGAAAATTCATTTTAATCAGAAAATTCATATGCATAAAAAAAATGTTTGTTATAAATCAGTATTAACAAGAGCAGTAAGCAATAAAATAATCCTTCCTAATATTATGCATCAGAAACACAATTAGGGCTCGGTGAAAACAAAAATTAGATCCAAAATCATGAAATATTACTGTAACATGGAAAAACTCAATAAGCAAAGAAAACATGTCATTTTAAAAACTGACTTGCTATATAAAAATGTTCATAAAACTGAACCGATATATTTATAGAGTCCCTCACTGTTGCTCTCGACTATACTGTCATCCATAATACAATTAACTTCGTGCATAAAATTTCCATTTGGCAGATCCTGTTCATTACACTTTCCGCTTGAATCTACTATGGTTATGGCTGATGTAACTAATGGTGTATTCGTTTTTGCCTCATCCTTTGAAAAAATAGAAAAAATGAAGAAAAGAATCTGAATAACATGTGAAAAACCAAGTAAAGATAAATTTATTTTAATAACGTAGTTTAGATGGAAAAAATCAAAATTGTTATGAAAAGAAAAAAATTGCAGGAACTTACTTTCTTCATCGATTCCGGACCAAAAACAATGCTGCTCACAGCATCAACCAATTCCAGTTGCACAACACAACGAACCAATAGTGTAGTGAATAAAGTATCGCTACTGAAAAAGAAATTAAGAGATTAGAATACCCAAGTACAGGAATATGAATAATAGTACCGATTTATTTACAAGCATTGCGAATTACGCAACAAAATAGTAATCGGTAGCAATCTAAAACAGTGAGACGATATATCGAACTAATGATAAAATATCTGGATCCTGATGATTTTAAGGCTATAACATATACAACATATCAAAAAAAAACTAACCTAGGATTTAACACTACCTGATGATTATTATCGCTATAAGCTAAATAATCATCACCATTTGGTACCATAAACGTATTTAAAACACTATCTGGTTCCCAAGTCAAAAGCCTGTTAAAAATTCGTTTGACCGTTGAAAGCTTAATTTCTGATTAGTTTCAGCAAAGTCTAAAAACTGCTAAAGTTTATCTACTGATTCACAAAAATTGATAGTCTACAACTCTATCTGCAAAGAAAAGAGTAGTTTTGATATATCTATTTCAGCTTCAAACGAATAAGGGATAAATGCGGAAAAACTTACGAATGAGGAAGAGTAATGTTAAAAATGTTGGCAATTAAAATGATTGTTTCATCCCACATTGCAGAAGTAAATTTTGAACCATTTAAAAGAAGCAAACTTTCAAGACAATTAATTGCCGAACGCGCCAACTGCTCATTTTCTGAAACAACTTGAGGTATTCTTAATTACAGCGATGCAATAAATAAATTTTTTCCTCAGTAGCTTCAATTACATACAAATAATTTAAAAAATTTCACCTTAATTTTCGCATTTATTAAAAAATAATATATACTAGGTAGATCAAACCTTGTTGAGCGCACCAATACAACTGTTCGTAAATACTAGTCAAAAGAATTGTAGATAAAACTGAATAATACTGTGTAAAGACATCAACAATGGCATAAAGTGCATGATTACACGTGGTTCTCATCCATTCCCGTTTCTAAAATAAACAAGAATGCCACTATCGCATAAGTGATAGACAAATATTACATAATTTTCCCAACGTACACCACACAAAGGAAATCTTTAAGTAAAAAAGTCTAGAACCTACTTCATTCTGCTCTTCAGCCAATTTCATGACATCGAAAATACGAAACGCAACTTGGAAAAGGTCCCTCCACCATTCATTTTTGAATTCCGTTCCGAAAGTTTTCATTATTTCAAACATCACCGTCAAACTTCTAAAAAATAAGGACCCCATATAAGTAACCTAAATCTAAGCTTATCTATCAAAAGTGAAGGATATATTCAATGTTGACTCTTTAATTGTTAATTGTTACGAAATTACTTGCAATGGCGAATATGAAAATAAGTATTTCGTTTTTTAAAATCATTTTTCTTCGGCGCCAAATATTTATTAAAATTAAGAATTTTAGACATTAAAAGATAATGATGCGGCACTTAACTCTATATACTGGTACTGCAAATAAAAACAATTTTTAATGCTATCAAGAAATGAAAAAATTGTCTAAACATAACGAATGTCATGACTCCAGCTTACTTCCTTGGAATAAGAATTAATACCTTGTTCTGACGTCCAATTTACATCTACCAATAATACAAGATAATTCAAACATTATTGGAAACCAGCCACGTAAGAAAATTCTTTGCGCATCATGTAGATTTGCACTGTCCTCCCACTGATGTTCAATAAACTGCTGCTGATTGGTTGAAACATATGTAGCGCAAAGTCTAATCAACCTAATCGCCTCCATGGATATGTCAGGAAATGCAGTATTGCACGCAAATTCAGATAAACACTTGATAGCATCTTGAAAGGAATCCAATACATTTCCAAATTCAGTCAGAAACACTTTAGCTGAAAAGTTAGTAAGTTTTACATATAAGATAACTTTATTTTTCTTCAGAAATGAAGTCTTGCTTGGCTACTAGATATCTGACATAAATTTATCGATCACAGTAGACATTCAAAAACTAACATATTATGAAATTTATCGTCACAAATGCACTTTCTACAATCCCTTCATCCCCAAGACCTGCAGCCATTGTAAATACTGAAAATACGTTTTTCCAACCAGATATGATTTTGTTATAATGAGTATTCACCATATGACTGATGCACTCAACAACTAGTTCTCGAGATTGGAAAGATCTGGAATTTGCTACGCATTAGAATGCAGCATAATTTAACCAGCATTCGATTTCAGAATAGTAACTCTCAGAAAAATGAAGTAAATTTTCTGAATCAGCGGGTAAAAACTTGCATGCAATGAAATAAATTAGTGGACTAAAAACGAAGAATCATAATCTCAACTATTTACCTTACTCACATAATTTATATTAAAAAATTACCTATTTCTGTTCATTATAATTTCAAATGGCCTCAAAAAATCTTTCTGAAATCGGAAATTCGGTAGTTCTCCCCGCTCCAAAAATTTCATTGAAAGTTGTCGCAGTGCATCAACAGCAAAATGTGATATATTTTCATTTGCATTACAGCCCGCCTAAAGAAATTTTCTGTATAAAGAAAAGATGATTCAGACATCACAATTTAGTAAATCATATTTTACATGATACATGTGATTAGTGATCTAAAAACTTTTACCTTGTTAAAATGCTCTCCTAAAACACTCCAGATCCTAGACCATTGCAAACGGATACGATTCATATTGTAAAAAGATATTTCAACTATTTTTTGCAGCATAAACATTCGTGGATTACCAATATTTGATAATTCTTCTTTAGATACTTCACACAATGCTCGTACAAAATGTACAACCGCATCGCCATCCAGTTTTGATGACCCTTGAAATATCCTGAAAGTCACTACTTTTGTTCAAAGTTTTTAAGAGGATAAAATTAAAAAACTTAATGAACTCTTTTTTTGCTCCATATCAAAATAAACTTATCCAAGTGTTTTTACAAAATTTCATTCTCCAACCATATAAAAACGAGCTACGTAGGATTGAAACAAGATTTTCAATTACCTGTCAACTGCTACAACAACACTTTGTGAAGTAGTTTCACCTAAACATTCTTGCAAACTGCACAACATTCGTTCATCCACATGAGAGGTACTTCTTAGCACATCTATAAGAATTGCACTCAATTTTCTGATTATACAGTAAGACGCACAAACAAGAGATGAAAGGAAAAACAAACATTGCGCTGAAGAGCCATTTATATTGGGACTGTGTGAAGTTTTTACTCCTGTCCCAATCATTTGGGCTAACTCCAATTGTGAAATGCACTTAAGAACCTGAAATTTTTATATCTACCTACTGAACCACTTTGGAAACCAAAAATTTGAAAGAAAAATCACATATAAATCATTAATCTATCGTTTTCAAAATCCTCATTATGATGATCAAAAAGCATTATTATCTTTTTCACTATCTTTTTTGAACCACCGCTTACAAGAAAACAGATATTTTGTCCAGTGCTATCAAAAATTTTTCATAAATCATGCGAACACTGATAAATTTTAATCATTTTATTAAATAACAGAAAAAAATTAAGAAAATTTAACATCAATCCATGATTCATCCAGACAGTTACCATCTTCTTCACCAACAGTTAGTAACAACTTGATCGATTCGATATTTTTCGACTTCATTTCTGCCATCGAATTTTTGGCCGTTAATAAAGTGAACCTTAATCATAATTGCAATTGTGAATTTATTTTCTTCCCAATCTCTAATGTAATGCTAGTGTACTTCTAGATCTTCAGTCAAGTGTGCATAAAAACAACGACTTACAAGTAAAGAAAAAAGTTATAACAGCAAAATAATTAAAAATGATGAAACAAAAAGTAACCGTGCTAATGCCTGTATATATGCATTTCGTTCCAAAGCCAAACGGAAAATGCAAGCGATTCTGATTCCCAAACGAAATCCTTGCAAGCACCACGATATAATACTTTCATTTTCCGAAGTTTGCAATCCAATACTAAAAGCTGCCAAACAAGGGGTCCAAGCAATCTATATACAACATTTCTTGAATATTGCAAAATTAAGAACACCATAAAAGTTGAAGTATTTCTAAAAGCCAAAAAAATGTCATAAAAGATCTAAAAGTTAATGACTACTCGCAAAAGTCTACCTTGAACATAGGTCTAACATGTTCATAATGAGATGCAGATGTAAAAGCAGCTTCATAGTGTGATGCAGCTTCCATAAGTGCCCGAGCAGTTTGTGCCATAGTGGCTAACTCAACATCTTGTAGTAATTTTCGCTGTCTCTCTGATGTAGCCATTGCACCTACGATTTTATTTGTAAATCTGTCTACTCCAGAATGAACTTTCCTAACTTTTTCAAAAAATTCCGAAAGACAGTACTCTGTTTCGGTAATTTGTTGAGTCCTGGCTTCATCTTAATTTCACGTCCCGCAATTTCGTCATATATGTCCGAGAGATATTCCTCTGGCAAATCACACTGATCATTAATTCCTCTATTCATAGCTATGTACTGCTCTTTCGTCATTTTATTTCGTACCTATCGAAAAAGTCATTCGACAAAATTGATTTGAGCTTTAAGAGTTGGAAATACAAATACTTGAATTTGATCACATTCATTACTTATCGATAAATGCAAGTGATGCTACCTGCTTTGAGATAAATACGATACAAATAAACCAAAAAGTGTGGATAAACCAACTTTTATACACTAACTTATTACACACAGAATGGTTACTTAAAGTTATTCGATCAGAAACTGTACTAATTTTGAAAATCACTTTCTACAGCACTATAATAAATATTGTCACACAATAAGAAATAGAATTTTGATTACAATACTAAGGTACTTGACACATATAAAAAGCAACTTGCTTGAGGACTGTGCAAATCAGTAGTCAACATGATGATTGAATACGCAAGAACGTATGCTGTATCAGCAGATGCAAAAAGGCCGAGACTGCAAATTACATTTTTTCACTTTTGAATTAATTAAAATAAAAACGAAGTATAGTACTCTCCTAACTACTTCTAGTACTTAAATGTTTCCATCTATGTGACAGAAATTTATGAATACCTTAGTGCGCAAAACTTGTTAAATCGTACTTTGGATTGCACTCACAATAGCGCGAGGCAAACTTTTCCATTAGACGGTCAATTTTCTGCGCTTCACCAGGAAGTCGGAATCCATCTAAAAACTGCCGCAGAGCACTAACAAAATCATAACTTGAAAAATCCATCTGATCCACGTATGCATACATAACTTGTTTATTAAACCTAAAATGTGCTGTCAATAACGAAAAGTAAAAAAAGCTGAATACTTTGAAAATACTATTTGAAAAAAATTAAAAGCAACTTACTCATCACCATCTCCAAGATAATCACCTACAACGGCTTTGTCTAGTCTATCTTCACTATGAAAGAACGAAGCAATATCTTGTGCTTCGACACCAATTAAGTGCCTTTCTTGGAGAAATTTCAGACCTTGACTTGGCTTTCGAGCAAATCTGAAACAAAACACGATTTAAATTTGCGTTAAAAAATTTTTGGATTCTTTAAAAATTGTTTAGCAAAGAACAAAGTACTGAATATACATGAATGAAAACTTTAAATAAATACGTTACATATAAAAGAAAAATTACAGGTGAATTCCATGTTCCATGGTTTCCTTCTTTTGTTTTAATTGTTCGAACTGATGAACAGTCGGAGACTGCTGTGCGACTGCTTCGGTTGACATTTCTATACTTTCCACATCTTCAAATTAGCAAACAAATTAATATATCTATATTTTTGTTGAGCCCTTATGCAAAAAGTTATATAAATAATAGTTATATTTATGTCCATAATTTCCTATTGATAAAAAATCTGACAAACGAAACCAAACAAATAGTAACTTCAAATACAAACCTTCTGGAAGCGTTCGACCAGAACAAATATCATCAAACCAATCCACCATGCACTGCAAGCATTCTACCAAACACTTCAAACCTAAGATCCTCATTGACCTCTCACGCTGCTTCTGCAATACAGCGGCTGAACTTCCATAATCTGACGATGGCCCTTCCTACAAAATAATTAATAATGAATGAATTGATAGCAAAGTTTTAAAACGCAGAATAATCATAAAAAGTTTTTATGGAATGTATTTTCATGGCTGATACTTTACATTATCCAATACTGCCTAAAAACCCAAATCTCAGCTAAACCTAGTGATAACAGTAATGAAATCCTGGTAATAATTTACAACTACATAAAATACACTGTATAATCATCAATGATTCGAAGACAGATGTGAAAATAAATATATTACATTTAAAAACAAGACATTTAATGTCTCTATTGTTTAAGAACTATTACAATTATAGGAGCAAATGAAGATATAAATGAAGTACAAATTATCTGTATCAAATTCGTGGTATGCAGAAACCTGTTAAAGCAAATTTGTGATTTATAACTAGCTAGTAAAATACCTAAGTCATATTATAATTATAAGTGAATGAAAATGGTAATATACCAGTGAAAACATTTTTTAATGAAATTTACTTCTTATCATGATTTTACACAAACCTGCGCAACTTTGAATAAACCATCAATAATACGTTCAAATATATTGGTTGCCAAGAGGTCACAATCATAATTTACATAAATATCAACCATACTTTGGGGATCTTCACAAATTTTTTCCAAGGTATTAATTACTATCCACTTATGCTCGAAAGAACTTGAAGTGCTTTCCAGTATAGAGAATATTATCTCTTTAAAAAAAACCTGAAGATAAAAAATAACAGTAAATTTAGCATTTAGTTTATGCTTATGAAATGCAGCAGATCTAATGAATCATGGCAAAGGATTTCATTACCCATGAAATAACTAAATGATAAAACAAAAATTCATGAAATTTTTTGGAATATAAAAAATGAAGACGATTAAAACACTTTTACATTCTTTCGTAGAATAAAATGGTAATATCTGCTGATCATTTAATTGAATCTGTATTTCGGAGAAATTATCCACTTATACAATTTATTCTCACATATATTTAAAATGAATTGTCATTACTCACAACTATTCATTTCATATTTTAAGCTTAACAACTATTGCTTCTTCCTATTGGTTTTACACCACCAGTATTACTTTTACAAAAACTTGAAGCTTACCTCAATCTGCACTTTCAAATGCATCTTAAATTTATTAACAAGTTGGACAAATATAGCCAGTGATTTCTCGAAAACAGTAACAATTGGCGAAACTCCATTTCGTGAAAGTGAAACGCATAATAAATGCCGTAAAGCAAGCACGAAAGGTTGTGAAGAATGAATTAATGACGAAGAATTCTGCACTATCAATAAAAGCATTTCTAGAGACAATTCTTTGGAGCGTAATTCGTGACTGCTAAAAACCCATGCAATTTTATAATTTTATGGCTAACACCGATGAGTTCTTTATACAATACTTGGGTGATTTATCGTTACTATTTAAAATAAAATAAACTTTGGATCGGATCGATCAGGAACTGGTTTAGTTGACAGTCTACATAATGAACGAAATAATAGAAATGCGTCTTCTTCCTGCACAGATCGAAAATGAAGATGTATAGATGGAACATCTGCGTTAATATTTTCGCTAGATTCTACTGCTAGCGATATTGCATTTAACGCACGTGGAGATGGCGACATCTCATATGAGAAGGTCTAAATATTATTCTTGGATAAAACTATTTTTTAAAACTATTATAAATTTTTCTTTAAACTTATAGAATCATAAAGTGAAAAAAGTAACATGCATTAATGACTGCGCCGTATTCACTGCGGCTTGAATCAGAATTTGCATTCATTGTTACTTGCTCAATCAAATAATCAACGACTGCTTGAACAACCTGTGTAAAATTTCAATGTCTCAAAAATTTCAAGCGAGATTTAAAATCCTCTAAATAACAAGAAACCAAAAACTCTTATTATAATATATACTGTAATCAAAGAACTACTTTTTTACCAAACACTACAAGTTTTTTCATTCAAAGTTTCACCTAACATTTAAAAACTTATGGATGCTTACTTCTGGATTCAAAAACCACAATATTTTTTATTTTGTAATATGTATAAGTAATCAAAAGTTAAACCACTACCAAAGGTTGAAAATTACCTTCTCATCACTTATATCAGGAACCGAAACAGCTTCGGCTTTCAACATATTTCCGAAAACTGTATTTATTACCTAAAAATCTGCTAATAATTTACCATTAACCACACTATATTATTTATATCACTAGCATCAAAAAGAATAATCTCCTTTTTTATTTCTTATAATACCTGTGTTAAAGAAGCTTTTGCAGTGGACTGATTGATAGGACTTCGACTCGCCAGATGTATATTAAAGCATGTCCTAACAGCTAATAAGAGAGTAGCTTTATGTACTTCACATGTTGGAGCAAGTACAACGGCTAATAACGCCTGGAAATTAAATTATTCTGAGCTATGAAAGTTGAATTCATACAATATGATCTTGGATCATTAAGAAAACCTAAATTAAAAGTATTCATAGAGCATTTATACAACTGAAACAAACAAGAGAAGTGCTAAATCATATATGATAAAGATTTTTCTTGTTAGGATAATCAACTGAAAACCATACAACCAATAGGTTAATTAAAAATGCCAAATTATAACAAGTTTGATTATGGATATATCCTTATTTTCCATGAAACGATCACTTTTGCTGAAATCACCTTTAAAATTTGCAGTTGCACTCCTTCATCAGTGTTTGGACCATAGAAGGGAGAACAAATAGCTTCGACGATACGATCAATTAAAAGACGATCCGGATTTGATACGTCAACTCCTTTCCCCACCAAATGACCATATGCAATTAACTTCTACAATTTTAACCTCTACAAGCAGTAACTGTATAAGCAAAGAATAAAATTGGAATGTATAGATTTCAATAGAAAAAACGTGACTTATAGAATTAAAAACATGAACTACTTCTCCAATATTTAAAAATTTTTTAATGCAAACGATTTTACAAACAGAAAGAGAATCTGTGCAAGTTCTTATTATTTGATTTGTTCGTTTGTTCACAAGCCTTATACAACCAACATAAATGAAAAATTTTGAACAAAAAATTTAACGAAAAATCATATTGTCCAACCTGTAAGCAATCTAGGGCGATAATTATAATTCTTGGAGATTTAGAGCGGCATGCAAGATCAAATGGGAGGAAGTAATGATCAGCATAAATAAACTGCGAATTGGAAGGTAATACATTTTCTGTGACACAATGATTGCCATCTACATTGTTAATACTAAGTTCTTCAACGGTTTGTTCACATACCTTTCGCAAGTGAGTGAGTTCCTGGATATATTTAAATAAAATAAACTAGAGTTACTAACTTATACTTTAGTATTTCGCAACAAAATATTACATAAGTTTTGAAAATAAACTTACTAACTCAATAATTGAACTTTTGTGCGGAACTATTCATTAACTGAAAATAACTTTTTTTTTTTTAATTAAAAAAATAACCTTTTTTTTAATATCTCGTTCACTAAGTATACGTTCTATGGCATTTCGCAAAAACATAACAGCTGCTTGCTTCACTCCATTATTCATTTCAAGAACATTTTCTTTCTACAAAAATTAATTACAGTTACTAACACAACAGTACGCACAAAAACTGCAGTGCTGCATATGATGCAGTAATACTGACTAATCATATAGAATAAAAATAACATTTTAAGCTAATTACATCTTACAAATGAGATATATTCTTAGCATGCTAAATAAGGCAAAAGACAGGAAAATACACTAATAAATAGCTGATTTTCAAAGACTTCTCAATTAATTATAGCAGCTAATTATTAGACAGTACCAAAAAAACTCGTTCCCACCAAAGTCCCAACAAATTACAAGCATAATCCCACCAGAAGTAAACTACTAACATTAAAATAAATATTGTATTTTCTTTTTCGAATAATTGAAAGGTATTGAATATAATGCGGTCTTGCTGCGCCCAAAATTCATCTCTTTAAAAAAGTAATAATAAAAAGTAAATTTAAAAGTAACATTCTAAAACTCACTGCTTAGGTATGGGATTTATTAAGACTAGAATGAGAATGAACAAAGGAAATGCTATAAGTCAGCTGTGATCAAACGAAACGGCTTGAAATCTTTGGCTCAGTTTTAATCATATCAATGTGACTAACTTTTATCTAAGCATTTCAACTGAATCAAAGAATCAATCTCAGTCAACATTGTACAGAATTTTTTAACTTAATAAATAACCATCCGATTCTTATCTAAACAATTTTATAAGATTTTCACATCAGTAAATATCTTGATATTTCCACCATTTCATTTACGTTATTATAAAGTAATGAATTTGTTGGCTAATTATTGAGCAGAATATAGTTATGATATTATTTTTCTGATAATTTTTAGCTATATTTTTTGACTGCTGCATGCATATTTAACTATCTGTACTGTTCTAATAATAATTTTTGACGTATTATAAAATCTTTTGACCTTTGACACTTATTTGCTAATGATTATGGTGTGCAAGATTGAACTCAAACTAGCACAATTGTATATCAAACTTTCAAACTCTTACGCTATGGGATTAAAAATCTGTGATAATTTCTATTTAGTATGTCCTTAGCGAACTGTTAATGAAAAGCCTGCTTCAAACTTACCAGTATTTTGTGTAAGAATTCTGTTACACACAAAGTCTGTACAGATGTAATAAACTTGTATTAAAGTAAGGCTTTCGAAAGGTTTCAGTTTATCCTCAATGTATTATTATATTAGCTGGAAATTGTAGTAAACTCCTTTGTTTTAGATACTTTTCAATAGTACTTCATTACTCTAAACTCATGTATAACCCAACTTATTTCCTTCGTAATGCTTGATTGCTTTATTCGTCAGGAAGTGCTTTCATGGGAGTACTGATGTAAAATATTGTGGTCAGAAGCAACAAAGTCGATCTCCCTTTTGTGACCTATCTCTGGATTAAACATAATAAATATCCAATCAAGATACTCTAAGTATAGCAGGCATATCAGGTCTTACCTTATTATTTGTTATTGGTTGTATAGTTTCTGAGAACCGAGTAATTATCTTACTGTTATTGATATTTACTTTTCGAAAACCACTTTTAGTTCAATGAATCTATAATAGTACGGATAAAAATAACAGATCTACTACATAATCCTAATGTTTGTTATACACTTATATCATAGCGAAACATATCTACGCGATATTTGCTGGAAATAGCTGAGATATCCATTTCGAACAATCAAAAAATGGACAAATATACCAAAAGTTGATTGTAGTTTCACTAGATAATTTTTGCAGAAGATTTGGTCACTTAAACATGAGTTGAAAATAACACTTAGGAATAATCGATTGAATGCATATTTAAGAAATCGACTGACTTCACTTTTTTACAAAGAGGTAATCAATTCTTTGCGAATTCGAATTAAGAATACTGGACTGATCTTACTTGATTCATTTCAAAAAAAACAAGTTCTGTTATTTGTATAAACCTCCTCTATCTTTACGCAGCGTTTTCCTGTAAGTGAACTTCGCAATCAAGTAGGCAAAAGTCAACCATATAAATAATGTAGCACTGTTGTATCAGAAAATACCAGAGCATCTAGACAAATTTATTAACTTTCATTGTTCAATAACAGACACCGACCGTTACAATCAGCACAACAGATCAGTGGTACATCGGAAATATAAGGATAAATTAATGAAAAGATACACAAAATTCAATAAAATAATAATGCAACAAATTTATCAGAATTAAAAGTGGAACTCAAAACAATAAATAGAAAAATCTAGAGTACAAGGTAATAAAAAGACAATATTTTTCATTTGCTCTTCTTTTACACGTCATCCTTTGCATTTCGTTCCTATTTCCCGATTTTTTTCAGGGATTTATGTTGATTTTCTCATCACTAAATACGTCTTCATTGCTTGTACCAGCAATGCGTTCTGAAGTAAGCCATCGAGGGCTGCAGTCGGCCAACTATTTATGCCGTACGAAAAATTGTACAGCCTCGCCATGTTGGCCAACTAGCCGCAAGTCCGATTCCTTGGAAGGCAGCCCATTCACGTATGCTGCTTTTCTAAATTAAAAGTGTAAACAGAGTGGATATTACTACGACAAACATTAGTTTGTTACAAAGTCAAATGGCACTCTCACTAGGTTGAGCTCTCTGATAGCAGCCCAAACATTTGTTACAGTAAAATAATTTTCTATTCACAAAATATAGATTTTTGGCCTATTGAAGACAAGCGACACTTACCATTACTGTTTTCGAGCAGCATGAATGTGCCGCCTCTTCAACTGTTGACATGACATCCGAGCGAAAGGCTAAAATAAAAAATAATTTAAAATTTGGAAGTCATAAATCAACAAGTAAAGCAATTGAATTAATAAATTGCGCTGATTATTAAAAATATACCGGTATTAGCGAAATCATCGCCAATCCGCACAATTTCGCTCGGATTTGTTAAGGTCGGGAGACCTGCTAGCTACATACTTCCCACCGTAATTTCCTGAAAATTGTGATTCAATTTCGTCTTGTCATGTCATGAATTCTATGAATTTTTCATTCCTCAAAACAAAGTCCATTGATGGAATGAACTTGTTAACATGAAATTTACAACATTTCTTCTCCGTCTTCAATTCTCTAGTGATTCAGAGTGAATTGCAACTCACCTTTTAACATTTCTCACGGTGAGAAGAGGCTGTCTCGGTCTCCCCATTCATGTTTGCATCATTTCTTGATTGGTCCATCAACTGTAGCTCTCGCACTTCGAGAGCCATCCTCATTACTTATCAAGTCTAACCATGTTTGCACCATTTCTTGGTTGACCAGCCCAACCTTGATCCCACAGTTTGTCTGAAATAACGCATAATTTTATTGCTGTGAATAAAAAACAACCGATCAACGCGTTTGGACAGACATCGATTAGTCTTTTTACTTCACAGCAATGAACAATCAATTCTCTAAGCTCTCTCATTTCAAAGCACTTCAAATTAAAAATTGACCCAGCGAATTTGCGGACATGAAGTACTGCTTTGGAAGTTCGAAAATCTTAAAAAATGGAGAATTGCATACAGTGGCAAAGCACAATGAATACAAAATTGGAACTAGCAGCACGTAATTCTAGCAGTCTGTTGGATAATTATGTGAGAATAATATAGTAATAACTGCAAGTACCCACTGGGATATCTGATCAGATCACAAACGACAGCTCACTCCCTCACACTTGCCCACCTTAAGAAACAAATTAGCCAAGCTGGTAACCTCAGGCAACTTATTTTCCAGCCGCTCACCGCACACTCTGACATGACAAATCAAAGTAGTGAGTGAAGAGAGGGGGAGGAGGAGAGTGAGGGACTGGCAGCACGTCAGCGAGGCTCATCCTATCGCTGAGGAGTGACTCATCTGCCTGTCTAGACGACTGTTTCTGAGAACGGTGATGAAATTTAGCAATTAAGTAGGAGGGACGTGAACACAAAGTGGTTTTAACCCTAAATCGGAGTGATTGCTCAATCATTTCTGATAACTTTAATTGGCATTCAATTGTGATCTGAACACGCATACAAACTTTTAAATCCAACTTTTCGGTCGCAATGTCACTTTACTGTCTGCGACTAAAAGTTTACGTAAATTTTGAGACTATGTTATGCTCACATATTTTTCAATAAAAAAAAAATAAGCACTTTGATTTTATCAAATAATTTCTTAGTTTCATCATAACTGTATTGGATATTATTTCAGAATCTGTTAATTATTAGTTTTCTAAGATGGTTGTGATGATTTCAATTGTGGTTTGCAGTTATAGCAGCAAGAATAACTTGCAGTAGAATAGTATAACGATGGCATTATGGCAGCTCTGTATGACATTTATCATTGACTGGTCATGAAAAATGTGAGAGTTTCCGTTGGAAAATTCCCTTACAAAGTAATGGTTTAAAGATAGACAGACTGCTGGGATTTTCATGAATGTTTGCGTTTTCTGTTTTCAAATTATTCGTCAAGAAAATTCTCAACTTCAGTAATTCAAACACATTTTTATCCAGATTTGAACAGACTAGCAGGAATTTTTTTTTCTCAGCATGGTGTTAGCGCTAAATTAAATTCCATTAAAAATGAAGATTTCGACGAATTTGATGTTTTCCGGCACAAATGTCCGAAAAAGATCCCCTAAGACGAGTTTGATGAAAGAGATGTTAGTTGGTAAGAAATATTTATAGTGAACCAGATGAAGTTGAAATTAACAACTTGCGACCATATTGTTTGTATTTTACCTACTTCTCCTCATGATGATGTTAATTTCTTCAAATCAGTTTATTTTATGGTGTATTCCATTCATTTATTCCGCAAACCTTCCATTGCAAACTCCGTCAGTATGACAAATTAGTAAAAATTCCTCATGTCATCATCTTAATCCCGCACTAACTGAACACTTTACTGTAATGTGTGGAAAAGTTGCAACAATATACAGCTTCGAAAGTAAGACTGAAGTTGAAAATTTCGCACAACAACATGGGAAGGCAATTTATGCAATATCAAAATTTCCAACTTTAAACAACATGTGCAAGCGCCTTTTCACGCTTGCGTCTGTATATTCAGCTGTGTCTGAAGATCATAAGAATGAAAGAAAGTCATGAAATCATTTTGAGAAAATGTTTTTATGATATTTTAGATTCGCGTCAGAAACACTCATTTCTTCAGAAGAAATGCTTCTTGCTCAGGTCAAATATGAGCACTATGAAAATTTGGGCAGTGGCAGAAAATGCATAAAGTGGCAATGACGTCAGTTTTAATACATTAACCAATGGATATGTGTGGCAGAAAAAGGCGTGTTTGGGCGGAAAAAGCGCTTTGAACTTATTGGGACTGGTAAAATTTGCTCTGTGCGAATCTGCTCTACCCTTTCATTCCCTTCCTTTTGCTCACATAATAGTCCACCAAATCATTGTCTTCACTCCAACTCCGACAGGACAGCTGGCAACTTTACCGATTCATTGGGAAGATGGACGTCAATCAGACAAACATAAATCACGTCGCTGGGTGTCAATTCAGTAGCAGCTTTGTTATCTTCGGTCGGTATGTTTTCATACACTTCATTTTACAGTCTCTGTTATAAATGTATTTCAAATCTTTTATACATCTGTGTTGCGTCAAGCGGCTTCTTGTTTCATCGTGAAATAGTTTTAAGAAACCGACAAGATATTTTTTTATGAAATATAATTTTCCGTCTTGAATTATTTATTGTTCAGCAATTCAGAATTCTTTATATTGATTGGATATTTCAAGATGAAACATGCTATTTATGATCATGTGAAATTGTAATCACATATAGATTTTACACTTTTTTTTGGTGATTGTTTTGTTGTAGTATTGTTATATATTGTTTAGATTTTAAAATGTCGCTTTTTGTTCAATCTCTTCGCCTTTGATTATTTATCAAATTGTTCTTTTTTAATGCTGTCGATCGTTACAGTTCGGAAAGTTTTATTTATATCCTCATCAAGAGCCACCAATTTCCGCTGCTGGGCAAAATATAGACTTCTCTTCTTTCTGGTTCTTGCCTTTCCAATATTTTTCAATTTTCCAGAGCTGAAGACTGTGCTTCGCACCCATGATGCATTGCGCAGCGCTTTTCAGGCTGGAAAACCAAAGAGGAAACTTTCATAACAGCAGTATCGAATGAAATGAAACCTAGCAATTCTTGTTAAAACTTTGATCTCAGAAATATACTCATCAAAGATGATGCACTCCACCGCTCTGAACTCCGTTGCGTTTGAGATTTTGGTTTCCGTTGCGAATTCCATACAGTATGCTTAAAATGCCGCTTAATTTTACTGCTGTGAATGAAAAAACAGCCTATCCACGCGTTAGGACTAATATCGATTAGTCTTTTTATTTCATAGCGACTTAACAATTATTTCTTCGTGCTTTCTCGTTCCAAACCATTACGTAGCAAATTAGATTCTTTCATCGAAGTTGCGGATTAAAAGAGTTGGTTTCAAGGTTCAAATATCTTTGAAAGAAGAGAGAATTGGGCAGCAGGTGGTGTCAAGATGATTTTAGAATGTGGAAAAAATTCAGAACTGGCTGATAAATATATTTATGCAACCGTTTACTGAAAACTTACACCCATTAGCACAAGCGATCTCAAATAGATGCTTTGTAAAAAGCAAAATTAGCTAAAAACTGTCTCCATCAGGAAAATTATTTTTCTTGCTAACAGCACTCTGAGACAACAATTCAATGTAATTAGTGAAGTGTGACAGTGCGAGGGATTTTCTTTCTTAAAGTTTTTTCCTAAATTATTAAACGGAAGCAAAACTTTATCCATCGCTCTAAATTTGTAAATAATTTAGAATAAATATTGGAAAGCAATACCTTAGTGATGAAGAAAACAATTATAATGTTCTTTATTTATCAAAGTTAAAACATTCAAGAATTGCATAACAAAGGGTTTTTAAATTTTATTTGCTAGGAAACATGACGCAAATGTTGAGCAGATGAGTGAGCATATGCTTCTTCAACTACATAATGTTCTTGTAGACATTGCATCTATCTGTATCAGAAGGGCAACGATTCTGGAGCAGGAGGAAGTTCAAAACACGTACTCGGCAATTATTGTACCCTATCTAAAGACTGGCTACAATTTCGCAGAAAATCCTACTCTCGAAAACGTATTATCAGCCTAAAAGGCATTCTTGTATAGCAAAGTAGAAAAGAAAACCCGAAAGAATAAAATCTTGTACATAGCAGATTTATCATAGTTTATAACGCTTTCAGCACCTGTCCTGGCCACTTGTTTCGTGGGGTTTCGATTCCACGGACGATTGTTTCAAACATGATCATTCTGCTGGCACCGGATTCCGGTACACTGGCAGTATGTTCATGTACACCTTTCGCATAGCTCTCCCCAACCAATTATTTTCTAAAATATCATACTTGATCTCTTTTTGTGCATCATTTTTCCGTAGCATTTTTTACATCATATTACTTGTTCCAACTAAGGCATACTGACAAGACTAGAATTATGCAAAAAAAGTCTGTCAGTGCTCATCACTTAATTCATTTCAAAAAGAAAAAAGTATTTTTTACATACATAGAAATACAGGTGTTTTTAGAATCTTCCATGTAGTGATACAAGGTATACTATATTTTTGATCTACAAGTGCAACTTTCTGTATCTCTGTTGAATCTAGAAGGTAGGCACAGAACATTGTACTCATTATTTTATCGTAATTGTCCTGTTCAGCAGTTGAAGACATCTATGACAACATTTTTCAGTTATCTTTTCGAAGAAATCAGGTTTATTTCCTATTTTTATTGAACTTATTTCATTGTATATTTGAGGTTATTTATTAATTAGTGTTAGCATTTTTGTAGGTTATAGTTTTATTGTTTTAAATTATTGCTACTGTCATGTATTAATATTTCTGGTTTGCCCTTACTTACTTTTGAAGTGCAGTATTTACGTTGGTGTTTTCAATGCACGATTAAATGTTATACTGGGAGAAAATATTTTTGTAGTCAAATATTTTTGTGATTATTTCTGGTACCTTAAGAATGACATCAGTTAAAAATTGTATTATTAAAAGAAGAGCGAATTTTTATAATGTGAATCAAGTTATTTAATAGTGGATAAGAAGGGAGTAGGGAGATAAGCTGAAAATGTTCGTTTTGTATGAGATAAAATATTGTCAAAAAAATGTGTAATAATGAGTGAGAAATATTTGTGAAAAAATAGCTAACATATTAGTGGTGGCTGATAATGAGGTAGCATAAAATTATCCTGACCGCTCAAATTTATATGGATAATGCGGTTTTAGTCTTCATAAAATATTGAGAAAAGGAGTCATTGGGCGGGCATGCCAGCTCCTTAATTAGTCCCTGCGACCCTTTTGGAAATAAAGTTTATGCATATTATGTCTATTTAATTGATATGATAGTATAAATAGACAAGCCGTTGTGAGGAGGTGTTTATGC